TCAGCCATGTTTCCTCATTTGTGGTGTCGTCTCTGTTTTCTAAGTCGACAACAATATTGTTCAGCAGTCTGCCTGGATCAGCCATCTGTGATCTCAGTCTCACGCTTCTGTGTCCTACCCGCTGACATTAAAATCAGAAAACCTTTAATCTTGGAATCTTCCATGATGTCGTGTCCCCACTCTCCTAACTGATGTTCAGAAGACTGCATTTTGATTTGCTTCGCTAGATATTTATCTGCGTGGACGTAAATTCCTGACCACCTAGCTGTATGGGCATTGCTTAGAACGGCTCCTTCTTGATTTTTTGAATTTACTGGGGATTCAGAAGATAAAATCGACAGCCCGCTGAACTGACAGCGTTTTTACTTATTCTACAGGCGACACAGTAGTCATAAATGCTACTTTATTAAGAGTAGCATACCCAAAGATAGTTTAACTAAACTGTGTTCGAACCCAGAATTGAGGTCTGAAATATCTGACTCGTCTCCTTTGTGAAGATAATCGGAAAGATGAGGTTTGCTGTTGTTTGACATTTGGCCTCGAGAGAGCCTTTCAATGGTGGTTGTTCTTGCGCGGAAGTTTTTCTCGCTTCTAAAAAGGACTACGCCTCACCATTCACTGACTTTTCTGCTGCCTTTGACATTGATGGTGATTACGTATTATAGTTCTGATATATATGGGAGGCTAAAACTACACTGTCCGCGTCATTCAAAAGTTGTGTAGCGACTATCGCTGTTGGTCAACGACCCCTTATACTCTTTTTTCATTTTGGGAGAATTTCAAGTTTTTGTCCAGGATTTTCCAACAATTCTACAGTGAGAGCGCTGCTGGACAAATCAGCAACGCTAATGGCGCTGCCAAACCCCCACCGTTTGTTATTGATCTCCCGTGATGAGAGATCTTTGCTGTAAAGAAGGTTTTAGTCCCGTATGAAACATCACAATAGCTTCACAGAGACAGCTCATTTTGATTATGAACGGTCAACACACAGCCCATCTGGAATGTGGATGTCGATAAAATGTATAAACTTTCTCTAGTTTCATCTCGTGACTGCGAATATTTATTTCTTGAATTTATTAGCGTCCTACAGCTAAAGTGGCTTATGAAATTGTAGATCAAGCCTCATCCACACAGGTGGACAGCAGGCGGAAACAATCGGTAGCAGACAGCGTGCGGGGCGCCAATGAATGCCGTAATGTAGACTCCTGCAAGAAGTGAGAAAAGGACAGCATAGTGGCCACAATGTCCACAGAGTACGGAAAGACATTTTCTCCTCAGAGCAAGGAAGCCACTGCTTGCAAACCTGATCTGGCTGACAGACCGCTTATTCTCCACATGGCGCAAGAATCACCCGTTTCCGATCCCAAGGCCAGGCTCGAACATGAGCTTAACTTGATAAAACCCTCCCATAGATAGGCTACTGCCAACAACAGTATCAGGGGTAACCGTACACAGCTTGTATGACATCGGCCAAAAGCCGGACTCGACAGTAAATCAGCCGGTTCCCCTTCTTAAAGTTGTACTGAATTCCTGAGAAGAGAGCGATGATATTCTAAGCAACACTCAAACTATTAGAGAATCAGGCATAAACGTCCGTGCCGGCTTATGCTTGGCAGATCGCGTTGATAGGAAGTCTGTCCCCCTATAGTCAAGCCAACGGTGCCGAAACTGAGTAAATATCTTTAGATTAGGTGTTTTAGAGTTGTCAGGATTCGAAATCTGATGGTCCCGAAACCTTTGTGGGTAGGCCTCGAAAGTACTAAACTGAGTTAACAGTTTTCTACACAAATCCTCTCAGCCTGTTAAACAAACTTACCGAGCTGGGTTATGTGATAGACTCCAGAAGTCCAGATGTAATTATGATTACACACACCTTATGTCGCTGATAGCGAAGCTAATCTGCCAAACTTCGAAGTGCATTGAGTTGAGCGAACAAACCGTAAAGGAGGTGGAGAAGTCATCTACCTCAAGAAATGATTAACCATGAATAGCATCGAAGCATTCGCTCAAGAAAGTGAACCCTGCGAACGTCTATGCTGCATAGGCTGAGGTATTGAGATCATTGCTATGTATCACAGTCCTGACTGCAGTGCAGATGACTTTCTGTTAGAGAAGCTAACTCCTGGACTTCGAAATGTCGAAGTCTCGTAGTCGCCGACTTCAACACCCAAACATTTGACTAGAAAAGCCTTGCAGCGCCGTCTCATCTGAACATAAACTTCTGGAATCTAGCAATTCGTTAGCCCTAGTCCAGCATGTCATTAAGCCCATGCGCTATGACTCACAGCACTCCTCTTCAACTTGGACCCAGTGTTCTCCCACAGTGAGGATGTGGATCTCATACATCTTCCTCCGTTAGGAAGAAGTGACCACGCTGTGCTCACTTTCAAGTTCACAGCAACAGCGGCGAAACCCCAGCTCGACCAGACGTTTGGAAAGCTGATATAAATGCGATAGTCTAAGCAGCCAACTCAGTGAACCTATACATCAACACAAAGATTCAAGCAGAAGCCGCATGGAGCCAATTTAAACAACTTTACGCCCAAGTAGCTGAACCTCTTATCCTTAGGTCTGTCCCAAAGGGCCGGAAACATTGCCCCTCCTGGATATACCATGAGATCCGTAGATTACTCATACGTAAACACAGATTCTGGAATATGCTTACCACAGTTCAGACTCCTGGGACCAGAAAGTTGTACACCACCGCTAGGAACAAAACCATTACGGAAATCCGCCAATCAGGGATGAAGTTCGAAGCATATCTAGCCCGAAATGCAAAGGCACGACATAAGAAAATTTCCTCGTACATGAACTTTGGGAATAAGATATCCAGTGATGCCCCGAACCTGACTAATGGCAATGACACAATCGAAGATGATCAAGAAAAAGTAGAAGCAATGACAAAGCACTTCTTCTAGGTCTTTACACATGAGTCGTCACTCCCCATAGGATCAGCTCCGGCTGCATCAGAGAAAAACAGGATAGACTGTGTTGACGTTGACCAAGAAATCGTGCTAAACTGTCTAAAGCAACTAGATCTACGGAAATCAATAGGTCCTGATGATACTCATCCAAGGCTTCTCAAGGAGCTATAAGCTCACATAGCCGGCCCACTGACCAGGATCTTCAAGCTATATATCCCGAATGGAGTGCTGCTGTGTGACTGGAATGACGCCATGGTAACCCCCATCCACAAATGGGGATCAAGACAGTGCCCTTCAAATCACAGGCCTATTCGAATCGCCAGCACTTTTTTCAAGACACCGGGAAGAATCATCAAGAAAGGTATCAAGCCATATCTGGAAAACAACAACTTGTTATCCAGAGCACAACATGGCTTCAGAAGAAACATCTAATGCCTGTCAAAGCTCCTCACTGCAAGAGAAAGCTGGGTCGAATCAAGGGACAATGGAAGACCTGTTGACGTCGTCTTCATAGACTTCAGTAAAGCCTTCGATAAGCCCCCTCACAAAAGACTACTCATGAGGTTGGAAAATCTTGGTATCAAAGACAGCCTACTAAACTGGATTGGAAAATTCCTCATAGGTAAGAGACAGAGGATTAGGATCAACTCGAAAATCTCCTCCTGGACAGCAATGCGTAGAGGAGTGTCACAAGGCACGATACTCGGACCTATCCTATTTATTTTGTATATCAATGAGTATCTGTGCTAACGGATTCCCCAATGGTCCTATACGCAGATGACTTAAAAATCTGGAGAGAGCTGAAGGGCGACAGGGATATGCTCACGTTGCAAAAAGACCTCAACAAATTGTTAGAGTAGTCCAGAGAATGGATGCTGCCGATCAATAAAGTGAAATGTGCATCCATGCTCATCACACATACAACCATCAGCTCCTACGAACTACAGGGAATTACGCTCCCATCAGTTCAGACTCATTTGCATTTAGGTGTCACAGTAAGTCACGATTTAAAAACTACAGAACACTGTCTCGTGGTGACTGCACGTAGTTTCAGATCCCTATGCGCAGTTCGCAGGACCTTTACCAGGACCACCAGAGATATTTTCACCACCTTATATACATCTCTAGTGAGGTCAAGACCGGGAAACTGTGACCAGGCAGCCAGTCCTTGTCTTAGAGGAGACTCACATATTCTAGAAAGGGTCCAAAGGAAGGCAACATGTATGATACTCGGCATGACTGACTTATCATACAAGGAAAGATTAGACAATCTAAATATCTTCTTCCTATCATACTATGAGCTGAGAGGAGATTTAGTTAAAATGTTTAAAATCTTAAATAATGACCACGGCCCTGACATATTCTCTCTTTTCCTTCCCACCAGGTCGGAACATATTAGACAACATGGCAGGAGAGCTCAAAAGCCAAGAGGAAAGCATATTATTGAATTGCATTTTTGATTTTCCCGTCGATTGATTGGACCGAAGTGCTCGGTCTCAGGTTGACATGTCGGCTTCTTGTGCAGATGCTTCGACGATGTCTGGGCATTTAGTTAGTATACAATTGGTGGATGGTGGCTAGCAGTGGAATCCAGGATGCGCATTTCGTCCTATTTGGGACTCGTCAGCTGGATGTACCTGCATTTCTCAGTGAGTGATGATGTTCCCACTGAGGCTCGAACCCAGTACCCATAGTTTCAAACGCCAAAGCGTTATCCACTAGGCCACTTGGGCCACGCGAGCCACCTCTTGTGCGACGGGTCATATTAATTATTGAATTGAATTTTTGATTTTCCCGTCGATTGATTGGACCGAAGTGCTCGGTCTCAGGTTGACATGTCGGCTTCTTGTGCAGATGCTTCGACGATGTCTGGGCATTTAGTTAGTATACAATTGGTGGATGGTGGCTAGCAGTGGAATCCAGGATGTGCATTTCGTCCTATTTGGGACGTCCTATTTGGAAATCATATTCCTGTTGAGTACTGGTTCTCACACCGATTCATAGACTTTGGAACCGACTCCCAGAAGAAGTGTCTGCAACCTCAAATGATTCATCCAAGAAGAGTTTGGACAAGCACGGAAATTCACTGGAAGAGGGTTAACATAGGCCACCAGCCCTGTATCCTCAACCAATAAATCCGAACCTGAAATCTGAAATCTTTCTGATGCTTTTGAGGTTCAAGGTCGTCCAGGCAGAAGGCGCTAGACTTTCTGGTTTGTTACATTGTTTTTTAAAGTTTCTGATTATAGATTTCTGTCCGAAATAATCCTACTAGGGCGTTTTGTCTTATTAATGGCTTTTTGATTCTAGTTTTCCTGGTATGCACTGAATGGTTGGTGGAATACACTCAGGTACATAAGTACTGCCTCAGCCGTATCCTGAGTAGTCGAATTAAAGGGGAGAAATAACCCTAAAATTGGGTCTATATAGGGTAGGCCTTGTACTAAAAATATTAAACAATCAACAAACTAGCTTATTCACTACATTCACGTTATACTAGTTAAGTGGTAATCGCGATAGTGCGGAAATAATCGATTATTTCCTAGGATCCTAGGAAATATGACAACCCATGCTGATGAAAACGTTTTTGGGGGTGGGGGCATTTCGAGGGATAGACGTTGTACTTTCCCTAGAATTTTATGACGAAGTTAAACTTTAAGCCTCATCATGTACCAACGGACAAATGACCTAGAACACATCAACCTCTTGATTAGGGCTATTTTGTCTTTAAGATACATATATTTATTATTTATTTATTAGAAGGCATGGAACAGAATACCTTCCTCTGAAGTGTCACAAAAATACTCCTTAGTCTTAGATTGGAGTATCAGTAGATTACTTTGACCGTATTCCATGCACGGAATGATTTAGACCTAGGTAGGTCTTCTAACCCTAACAATAACATTAATCTCTCCATAACCTGACCCTGACGTGAATATGTTCCTAAACTAACCGCAATCTAACTCAAAACAACCTTCACATCGCCCCTATTAAGTTTACCTAACCTTAACTCTTATCCTAAACCTTAACTTCATCTTTCCCGAACCGAAGCTGAAACATCCCAGATATCCCACTAATGCTTACTATATAATATACCAGGTTTCACTAACTTTCTCACTGCATGTGTCAGGATCATTGGTTTGGTTGTATTCTACTGGTACATACCGGTGCCTAAGTTTCCCCGTAATTCTTCATCTGATAAGAATGTAAGTAGGCGTCGAACTATATATGGTTCAACATTATAGTGCTCATGAAAATTTATCTCTTTGGTTACTATCCTCTTTTGTTGAAGGAAATTTGTATGACTGTGATTATACATCTAAAGAAAAGGGTATCACTTAGAAGAGCTCCATTGCTATTAGATGATTATTAGATATTAGAGCTTCATTGAACTACTTGTTGGTTTTCCAGACACTTAAACGGAGATCTCCACAGCTGATTATTCATGAATCAAAATTGTCATTTGACCTGAGTTTATTTTCTTCAATGACCTGAATCGTAGTATCAGGGACTATTCCTTCCATTGAGAATGATAATCATCGGGCTTTCATGTGCTAATAGAAGTATGAATAAGGAGTGAATTAGTAAAGCATATTGACCACTTCACTTATTTGAAGAGCTGCATTAGCCAGTGCCAATGGGTGGATTGCTGACGAAGTCTCTGCACGGATACACAAAGCTCATTTCGCATGTGCCAGTTTACGCTGTCTGTGGCTTAGTAGACGTGATATCCGACTGGCTATCGATCAAAAGACGTGTGTATTGCTCAGCAGTTCACCCCATCCTCCTTTATGACTGGCTATGAAACATGGCCACTGAAAGTGAAAGAAATGAACGCCTAGCTATTTTCGATAAATAGGTCCCTGTGTGCTAGGTGGTATAACAGGATAAGCGATATTGAAATTAAGCGTCAGTCAAGTGCTAGGTAAGGTAGGGAAATCAATAGACGAGGTTGTGAAGCTACACAGATTGAGATGGTTAGGACATGTGTTACATATGCCTAGCGTAGTCACAGCCCTCCTCGACGGGCAATGTTAGCTGACAGAGAATGGATCAGGTTAGGAAAAAGCCAGTGGTGGTCAAACCAAAACATGGCTTCATCAGTCAATGAAATCCACAACGGTTAGTTTAAGTCACATAGGAATGTCTAGGCTTCCTGGTTGAGGTCCTTGGGACGGTAAAGACCGATGACTCAAAATCGTTCTGAATGACTGGCACGGATGCATCAATTCCTTGTGACTTATAATGTCCTGCAAAACTATGTTGTTCTTCAATATTGCTATTCTTTTTGCCCTATATCTTTGTTTACTGTCTCTATTTTGCATTTCTTTTTACTTTCTCTTACTTTGTGTGCTAAGTGTGGCAACTCGAACTGTTGCACATCGGGGCCAAGTTCTACATTGAAACCAGTCAGTCCTCCCATTAGTTCAACTGTTACACTAGTTGTATCGGGTAGACTATAGCCATCAAGTGGATTTCTCAATCCACTATAGAAGATTGAGATAACAGTAGGATGTTTACGGGTTGTCGGGGTCCTCCATGGACTTAGTAACGTACTGAAAAGTCACAACAACGATCCGAATATAGTTTTAGTCAATTTCATAAAACTTTGGATGTCCCAATGTCATATTTCATGAAATGAAAATAATAGGGAAAAGTTAAGACTGCTGACACAATTAAGTGGCTGGTCATATGATCTCCAAACAACCCAGTCAAAGAACACACATGAGTGAAGTGAGAAAAACGTGAGAAGAGTTGACAATTTTGATCGGTTAAGAATTGGGTAAAAGGCAATACATAATACCCATCTTAATGATTATTTTCCCACGTTTAAAATTTTTATAACTCAATATTTCCTATTTTACTCATGTGTTCCGAAAATAACCCACTTTTGAACTGAAAAATGCCCATTTTTTTTAACTGACTTTACCTATATTCACGAGAAATATTCTCCGACTGCGAAATAACTGAAGTAAAAAACGAAAAGGTGAATGGTATTTATTAATGAAGTTCAGATATATCTCTATGTTCAATCTACATATGGTTGGAAGAGGGAAATCTTACAGCAGTTCAATGAAGCTATCAGCGGTAGTGCATTGACATACTGTGGTTCTTTAATACTTTCTATAAGTATCTGATAGTTATTATTTATTAAATCACCAACCTGATACATAATGGGCACCAACAGTTGCGCCATACAGAATCGCATAGCTTGTGTAAGGGCTGGGATACCGCCTGGGCACCCAAGTGACTGCCTTATGGAGCCACTTCCGGAGCTTTTGATTCGAAGTCTGATCCACAAGATACTGGAGCAGCGATAGGAACTACTTCCATGTGATTTACAGTGACCACAAGAGGTTCGCACACCATTCTATGCTTTTGGATTCTGTAGCCCATTTCTCCCCACCCCAGCCTAAGTTTGGGATCAGGATTTCTCAGCTCCCTTAGGTAGACATGCATTGTCTATCAGCCCGGTTGTAAGCACCAGAAATTTTCATATTCCCTCTCTTACTTTTGTAAAGAACACCCCGCTGCGTGAATGCAGTGAATATAAGAGAGTGAATTCGTGGCCATATTACAGCGTTTTGATAGGAAAACCGAAGTCTACTTATTTTTAGCCCTACCAGGTCGTTTGTGGGGCTGTAGGGGGCGTCATTCTATCTGCTGATCTTTCCTGGTCGTCTCATATCCTGATGATTTCTATGAAAATATTCCGTCTTACCTTCTACATCAAAAAGTCGAGATATTCTGGTATAACCCAACTCTTACTCCTACAGTTTGTTAACCCTCACATTCTGCTTATTATTCTCTGTTGTTCCCCTTTAGTTTTTCCAGGGCTACTGAAGAAAGACTATACCTTATTACGCAGGATGTAAGCAACGGTCCACTTAACCAGCTTGTTAATATTCTGGTTGACAGGCACATGGACTCATGTGAAAAATGGGCAAAATCCATTCTATCTAACTCACACCACCCTCTTCATTCACAACTCTCCCTTGTATCTCATCAGGCAGGACCAGAATCCTCTATAGAAAACTATATGCTCGCGCCAGTAAGTACAAAAACTCAACCATACCCTACTTGGCTCGTGTTCTGTGCGATAAAGACAGTATTAGGAGTGAAACTTATAACTAATTAAATAGTTAGTAGAACAACTGGATCTTGTCTTTTCAACTCATATCATTTATAGGTACAACGTTTTCTTTCTCTCTTTTTTCTGTTATGTGCTGCTTTGTTTCTTTCTTCTGCTTACGCCAGTAAATATGCTAGCATCTACTTTTCTAACACCTTAAAACACTGTCCAATTTTGGCTTTTCTGCCAACATGTCAATATGTTGCCATAATGAACTGAAATTACCCTTAATCTATGTAGAATTTTATTTATTGTTAATGTACTTACTGGATTCAATACTGTAGTAAAATGCTGACAATTCCATACTCGGGGATTGACTTGTTACGAGGGAATAAAATCGTTGAATTGGAATATGCAGACGATATAGTCCTTTTAGGCGAGGACGCTGACAAAATGGAGAGTCTTCTGAACACCTTGAGCTGCAAACTACGAATGTTTGGCATGCGATTCGCTCCCCCCCCAAATGTAAGATGATGGATGCTACAGGACTCGACTACACTGACTCCTTGTTTAGAAATAGGGAGTGAAGTCGTAGAGCACGTTGACCGCTCCACTTATTTGGGAGGTACCATCAGCTAGTGCCAGTGGGTGGATCGCTGACGGAATCCCAGCAAAGATACAGAAGGCTAGTTTCGCATATGCCAGTTTACGCCGTCTCTGGCTTAGTAGACGTGATAGCCGGTTGGCTACCGACCAAAGAGCAGGTGTACTGCTCATCAGTCCGCTCCATCCTCCTTTATGACTGTGAGCGAGACCTGGCCACTGAGAGTGGAAGACATGAAAAGATTAGCTGTCTTTGATCATAGGTGCCTGTGCTCTATTTCCCGTGTGAAGTGGTATAATAAGGTGATCAATATTGAGGTTAGGCCTCCGTCGAGTGCTAGGTAAGGAGGAGAAATTAATCGACGAGGCTGTGAAGCTGCATCGACTGAAATGGTTAGGACATGTGTTACATATGCCTAGCCTGGCCATTGCCTTCCTCGACAACGGGCAATGTTAGCCGCTGACATACCATCAGGCTGGAAGTGAGCTAGAGGCGGTCACACCAAATCATGGTTTCACCAGTCAATGAAATCCACAACAGTTAGTTTAAGCCAGCTAGACACGTAGGAAGATGTAGACTTCTTGACCCGCTGGAGTCATCGGGACGGTAAAAACCAGTGGTTGGAAACAATTGGTGATATGGCTCTAAATCGTTCTCATTGATGGCTGGTGCATATGCATCCACTCCTTGTGACTTATGATTTCCAATGAAACTATATTGTTCTTCGTTATTACTTTTCCTTTGTCTCACACCTCTCTGTTTACTGTCTCTATTATGCATTTCTTCTACTTTCTTCTGTTGGTTTGTGTGCTACAACCAGGAGTGGAGTGTGGTGACTTGAAGTGCTGCACATTGGTGCAAAGTTCTATGTCGAAAACAGACAGACAGACTACCTGTATGTATTATGTTTGCTTTAAAATATTCAAAAATATCTGAAATTATTCATAAAGTTCTCTGTTCTGCTTTTCAGCTCACACAAGTTTTTACTCATGAATCTTAATAACAGCTACAAGGATGTAAATCCAGAGACTGGTGAAGAGATAAAACGCAATGAATATCGTAAAATGGGAATTTATGACTTTGTCCGACGAGATATTGAACGGTTTTTTGCACATCCAGTGAGTTTGTGCATTTGATTTATTTTAACATATTGAATAACCTTCAAAGGAAGAAGCTATTGTTTCGCCTCAGTTAACACAACCTCAGTTGCCAAAAGCACCACCTGAATTCGTTCGCAATGTATGGGGTAATGGTGAAGCTTTTTTTTCAATTGATAAATTACAGGATCTGCTGCTGGTGTTGGCAGTGGAGATTTTCATATCTACAGGGGGATTAGACGCAGAGAGTATGCTCGTTTAGAATTGATTGAAAAGACTGCAGAAGAGGTGAGGGCATTTTCGCCTTTGTTATTGACAATTTCTTAAAGGAACTTTTAGATAAAGAGTTTCAACTCAGACAAAAAGAACTACAAGATTTAGCTGCTGAAAAAACAGCTAAAAAACGAGCTAAACGTCAGATGAAAAAGGCGAAGAGAATAGCCAAACGAAAGTTGAAATCACAATCTAAATCTGGTGAAGATAGTGATGATGATGATGATTGTTCAGGGCAACAAGTGGAAGAAGTAATGGAAACAGAAAATAGTGAACTTGATGCGGTCGAGGAGAAATCTAAAGAACAGTGACACATCTAACTTGATCCATATATACTTGTAAATATTGTTTTATATGATACATTCTTACTATTTATGATTTTATTCTTTGCCCTTTTTTGGATGGATTATTAGCTACACCTTCTGTAAGGTTTTTAAAACGTTTATCTAAATATAATGCGACTCAATATGTGTCAGTTCATTAGTATTTTTTGGCGGAGAAGTGATTTGAACTTACAATTGTCAATCCTATTTCTATAAAGTATTGATTTGATTTTTCTAGTATTCATCTAGTCTAGATATCAGTGACTACTACTCTTTCCACTATCAGATGAAACCAGTAAAAGAAAGTTTTTACACAGAATATTTTTCTACTATTATTATTATTACTGTTTCCTTTAGTTCCTAGAGGAACATAGGGCTTCAGCCGCACATCTCCCTTGCTTTCGGTTCTCTGCCAATGTTTTCACCTGGCTCCACGTCTGCCTACATGCTTTCATCTCCTCTTCACATTACCTCCTTCATGTCTTCCTTGGGCGACTAACTCGCCGCTTCACATCCCGATTCCACTTGACAGATGGCCTGGCGTGTGATGTCACTCACCTGATGGTTTGCTTTCACAGAGTATGGCCAATCCAATCCACCTCCATTTCTTCCTGCGTATTTGTTGCACTATCGGTTTCTGGTTAGTTCACCCCCAGAGATCCCACGCCGTTGCTGATCTTTTCTGGCTTGCTGATCTTGAGTATTGAGTTTTCCACAAGTTGTATAAAAAAAACTTACTCCAATATGTCGTCGGGATTATTGGATATAGTAATGTTCATAATTATTATGACAATTAATATGTGGTTGCATTCTTAGCTTTCTGGTAGAAAACAGTACACTGTATACATATACTGGGAAAGTCCTCCGCTGATTTACATACTCTATTTGTTGCTCCTCACTCAAGGTGCTGTTCTTTCTCCTTTTCTGTTCCCTTTCTTCTTATACGACTTATCCATTCGAACAAATTTAATTTTGTTAAGTGTACCGATGATGATATGAATGTTTCTATGCCCGTTACTTCTTAGTTAGATTGTGCCAAAATGAAATTAGTCAGCAAGCCTTTGTCAGATGGTTAATTTTACTTTTAGAGCTGCAAGCGCAACTTAGATGAACTGGTTAGTTCTCACGGTTCCACTATCATAAGATGACAGTGAAGCTGAAACTAAGTAGAATGTTAAATATCTTGGACTATGTATTTCTTCTGATCACCTTTCCTGGTCTTCTCACATCATATTAGTTTCCAGAAAGAAAGTCAAGACAAACTGGTATTATTCCGTCTCTACTATCACATTTTGTTAATTCTTGTATTTTGCTTATCCTTCTTTACTGCTCCCCTATCCTTAATCTTCCCTGGGCTTTGTTATACTGTAAAGGGCACTAGAAGCCGTCAGTAAGATGAGTGGGGTGTTGCTTAAACAACTCTCTGATACTATTGTAGATGGACACATGGATTCATGCAAGAAATTGGCCAATATTATCTCTGTCAGACTGAACGTCCTCTCTTTACACAAATCCCTCCTTGCATGTGTCTCATCGGATAGAAATAGAAGCAATAATAGAAGAATGTATGCTCGGAAGACTAAGTACAAAAACTTTACAATACCTTATTTAGCCAGGACACTGTCTATCTGTCTGTTTTCGACATAGAACTTTGCACCAATGTGCAGCACTTCAAGTCACCACACTCCACTCCTGGTTGTAGCACACAAACCAACAGAAGAAAGTAGAAGAAATGCATAATAGAGACAGTAAACAGAGAGGTGTGAGACAAAGGAAAAGTAATAACGAAGAACAATATAGTTTCATTGGAAATCATAAGTCACAAGGAGTGGATGCATATGCACCAGCCATCAATGAGAACGATTTAGAGCCATATCACCAATTGTTTCCAACCACTGGTTTTTACCGTCCCGATGACTCCAGCGGGTCAAGAAGTCTACATCTTCCTACGTGTCTAGCTGGCTTAAACTAACTGTTGTGGATTTCATTGACTGGTGAAACCATGATTTGGTGTGACCGCCTCTAGCTCACTTCCAGCCTGATGGTATGTCAGCGGCTAACATTGCCCGTTGTCGAGGAAGGCAATGGCCAGGCTAGGCATATGTAACACATGTCCTAACCATTTCAGTCGATGCAGCTTCACAGCCTCGTCGATTAATTTCTCCTCCTTACCTAGCACTCGACGGAGGCCTAACCTCAATATTGATCACCTTATTATACCACTTCACACGGGAAATAGAGCACAGGCACCTATGATCAAAGACAGCTAATCTTTTCATGTCTTCCACTCTCAGTGGCCAGGTCTCGCTCACAGTCATAAAGGAGGATGGAGCGGACTGATGAGCAGTACACCTGCTCTTTGGTCGGTAGCCAACCGGCTATCACGTCTACTAAGCCAGAGACGGCGTAAACTGGCATATGCGAAACTAGCCTTCTGTATCTTTGCTGGGATTCCGTCAGCGATCCACCCACTGGCACTAGCTGATGGTACCTCCCAAATAAGTGGAGCGGTCAACGTGCTCTACGACTTCACTCCCTATTTCTAAACAAGGAGTCAGTGTAGTCGAGTCCTGTAGCATCCATCATCTTACATTTGGGGGGGGAGCGAATCGCATGCCAAACATTCGTAGTTTGCAGCTCAAGGTGTTCAGAAGACTCTCCATTTTGTCAGCGTCCTCGCCTAAAAGGACTATATCGTCTGCATATTCCAATTCAACGATTTTATTCCCTGGTATAGCCGGGACACATTATATGTTATGAGAAAAGTGTCAGTTATTATACTAATAAGTTACTGAGGAACACTAAGTAAACAACCCTATCTATTGTTCCATTCATTATTATATTATTGTTAATGTTCTCAGCCAAATTAAATCTTACGTTCAGAATCTTATTTAACAGTGTTGTTAATGTAAATTCCCATTACACCTGTAATGAGGAAATTGGATGCAATGCTGTAGTACCTGCCAAAAATTCCATATTTTTACCAGAGATACTGTTTGGAATAAAACTATTAGTAATAACATTGAAGTATTGGTTTGTAGGGATTTGATTGGTTACAGGATTTCATCATGAGCTGACATTGGTTAGAGAACCATTGAAAAGCCCGGGAGTACTGGATATGTGTTTCGCCCTAGTTTGGGACTCTTCAGCAGTACGCACCCACCGGGGTTCGAACCCGGAAGCTTCTGGATGCAAGACGAGCTCGCAGACCATTAAGCCACTGGACCAGACCCAATGGCCAGTGCATAAATTCCGATTTCTCTCAATTCATGACATGGCGTGACCACTAGCCAATCTCTTTAGCGAGTATTTACCCTCACACCCTGCTGGTCACGACTTCTCCCTAGAAACACTTAAATTTACTACTCTCTGGATCGTTGTGGCTCAGGCAGGTTAAGAAGGTGACTCTTGTTCCAGTGATCTTTTGTTGTCTCACGGCGTTTCATAGGTACTCGTGATGGTCCTATCTTTATAGTTTTATTTCTCGTCTTATTGTCTACTAATGCGAATACCAGATTTAGTAATTTAGATCTCTACCCAGCATTAATAGATCTTGTAGTGTTGCTATTGTTAGTGTCTGTTATCGCAATGGTGTTTCACTGTCTGTCTGTCTGTCTGGATTCAACATAGAACTTGGCACCGAAGTGCACCAGTTCGAGTTGCCACGTTCCAAATAGCACACAGAGGTAGACAAGAAGATGAGTAAAAAGAATCAATACAGTCTGACAAGTATAAGGGTGAAACAGAATGGGTAATGGTAGAAAGGAATATGAAAGATTACAGAGACTGAATATATCTGCGCTGGCCATTGACAACGATTTTGAGCCATGTCACCTATTGTCTCCAGCCATTGATTCCTAGAGTCAGTCCCGAGGGCCCCAACCCGGGAGTTTGCATCTCCCTACCTGACTCAGTTTCACTGTCAAGGATTTCATGGATTGATGCCACGTTTTTGTTTGGCCACCACTGGCTCTTTTCCAACCTGCACATATATCAGCTAGCAATGCCCGTCGGGGGAGGCGATGGTTAGGCATGCGCAGCACGTGACCTAGCCATCTCAGTCTATGTAACTTTATAGCCTCGTTGATTGATTTTCCCTCTTTGCCCAACACTCTACGCCTAACGTCAACATTACTTACCTTATTATACCACCACCTAACGTGAGACAGAGATCGCAGACATCTATGATCGAAAGCAGTCAACCTTTTCATGTCTTCAACTCGTATTGGCCATGTTTCAGAGCCACAGAGAAGGACGGAGCAAACTGCTGAGCAGTACACACGTCCCTTGGTTGATAGCCGGATGGATGTCACGCCTACACCATAGACGGTGTAAGCTAGCGAAAGCAGCTCGAGCTTTTTGGATCTGTGCTGATATTTCGTCGCCAATCAGTCCGTTCGTGCTGATACAACTTCCCAAATAGTTGAAGTGGTCAACATGTTCTATCACTTCACTCCCTATCACTAAGCTAGGAGTTGACGTGGTCCAGTCCTGTAGCAGCATCTTACATTTTGTAGGGGCGAATCGCATGCCAAACATACGAAGATTGCTGCTCAAGGTGTTCAGAAGACTCTGCATTTTTTCAGAATCCTCCCCTAACAGGACTATGTCATCTGCATATTCTAAGTCCATAAGACTATTCCCTGGTCTGTCTGTCTGTTTTCGACATAGAACTTTGCACAAATGTGCGGAAGTTCAAGTCGCCACATTCCGTGTAGCACGCGAAGCAAGAGAAGAAAGTACAAGAAAAGCATAATAGAAACAGTGAGCAGAGGGGTGAGACAAAGGAGGAGTAATAACGAAGAACGAAACAGTTTCATTGGAGATCATAAACCACAAGGAGTGAATGGTAACAAGTCGATTCCTAAGTCATTACGTTCAGTTAAGGATACTTCCATCAGCATATCTGTGATGAAGTTAAACAGAAATGGGGAAAGTGGACATCCCTGTCGGACACCACTGGTTGTTACCAATTCATATGACAATTCCCCATAAGCCCTTACACTAAAAGACTAATAGTCAGCGTAATCACTGCGATATGATAATCTTGAAAGCGATCGTTATTTTAGTTGTCTTTTTCAAGAATTTCAACTGTTATATAACGTATTTTCACCATTTTTGATTTTGTTATTATTATTATTGCTTCTGATGTTCATC